GTTCATCGCCTCATATTGTTCATCGCCTCATATTGTTCATCGCTTCACAGCTGAGACAGTCGAGACCTTCTTCCTCCAGAGTTTGAGGTTTTATTAGAGCTGATAGTTTTATGCCGTAATGTGTTATTTGAACTTTGCTTGCGTTTCCTTAATGACAAGATTTATTGTTTTAAATTTTTGTTTTACATTTTCATTTGACTACATTTTAAAGCACTTTGGTCAACTAATGTTGTTTTATGTGACAACAAAAGTTAAATCATGTCATCTGGACCAGTTTCTTTAAGGTAGGCCTGTCGTGATAAACAATAAATCAATTAATCGCATGATAAATGAAAATTATCCACCTCATTTTCATTCACCGGATTGATCATTTCTTCGTGTCTCTCTTTGTACAGCCCCCACTGGTGTTTCAAGCCCGCCTCCTCCGTCCACAACAATCATCATGTACAACAAATGTTTTAGGCCGGATGGTCAACTTGTTACTCACAGGAGCAGCCCGACACCAAGGCCAAAATGTTGTTTTATGTGCTTTAGGAATAAACTAACATTAAAGAGTAATTGAACATAACTGCTCTTATGTCACCAAGTTAGGAGGGAGGGGGGGAGACTAAGATATTGTTTTTAAAAGGTTGTGTTTTAGCTGTCCACACAAAAAACACAAGGTTTCAAGGTTCAGGAGTCGCACTAGGACCCACCATTACAAAAATAGTAAGGGTCATTATGGTTTTTGTTGGTTTAGTGCCCATGACAGTGTGAACAGCAACAACTGGTGATGGAGCCTAAAACTCAAGAGCTCCTCTGTTTAAAGCTGGTCCTTTCTCTGGTGTTTGTGTTACTTACGTGTTGTACACGTCCATCTTGTCCTCTGTGTCGATGGACAGAGACCTGCCAAAATAAAGCCAGGATTAGAAACACATCTTCAGTCAACCTGTGACAACATTTAGAGATGATGAAGCCAAACAGGAGGAAGCCAAACATATTCACATGTTATGTCTTCTAAATCTTTATTTAATTTAGGCTACCATTTTAAATCAGATCTGCTTAAATACAAGAACTCAAGTGATTTCAAATTCACTATAATCCGTGTCTGCTAATAAGAAGTTAACTGGTGTTAAAATGGGACTCCACTGGAAGATAACCTCTAACACACTTTGTGTCTAAACTATTAATCAGACACAAATGTATAACTGTATGTACAACGTGTGTTTTCATTAAACTCAGTCACTGGTGGAACTGGTTCATCCCAAAGATCCAGTCCCCCGACACAAACGGAGTAATGTTGTGTATGCTGTTCAGTGTCAGGAGGGTGATCAGTCTTACATCGGGGAAACTAAACAGCCACTAGCCAAAAGGATGGCCCAGCACAGAAGATCAACATCATCAGGCCAGGACTCTGAGGTCTACACTCATCTCCAGGTCAGAGGTCACTCTTTCAGGGATAAAGATGTTCACGTCCTTAATAGAGAGGAACAATGGTTTGAGAGAGGAGTAAAGGAGGCCATCTGTGTGAAGAGGACCCGTCCATCATTAAGGGGCGGTGCCTCCGTGTTCAACTGTCCCCCTCTTACAATGTTGTTATTGCTAGTATCACTCAGCCTCCTGTGAATAACAAGCGGCCATCAGGTGCTAACGGTCAGTCGTTAGGATGATGGTCCTCCTCCATCATGTGAACAGCTGGTTCTGGATGTCACCAACAAACATGAGAAGGTGCTATTTATAAGACGGAGTTTGTTGCAGCTCCTCAGGCTGAAGAAGAAACGTTTCAACAAAGTCAGGTCAGGTCCTCTGGACGGATTCTTGTTTGATGAAACGTTTCTTCTTTTATCTAAAGGACTTCTTCAGTCTGAGACCCTGCAGAAGCTCAGTCTTATAAATACTCCTTCTCGTAGTGGATGCTGCGACAGCCAAGAGAAGTTCTCACCTGAGGAGCTGTAGGAGTTCAAAGAATGGGGAGAGTGGAGATTTTGAGTTACAAGTGGAGATGTTCTGTGATGGGCCTTTTCCATGGCTCCTCTTCAGCACGACTCGGCTGATTCACCATCACAGCACTGAACACCAACAGTTTGTAAAAAGAAACCCAAAGTTTCCTTGTAGTCTTAAAAACAACACATTTCAGTCTGTGTGTCAAGTTGTAAAAGCCGGTAAATAAATCCCAATAAAAAGCTACAATCAACTACTGCTTAAGGAACTTCTCACCAACAAAACAGTTGGACTCTTCGTGACAGCTACGTAGCTCTAATGCTAACTCAAGGACTTTAAGGAGCCATTAAAGTCGGTTTACTTACTTCTCTAGCCTCTCTGACACTTCCGAAACATCGTCCATGTCGTCTGTCGTGTTTCCTCCTCACTAAACGAGTCTCTGAAGCTAGTAGTCAGGGTTTATCTCCACCGCCATTTTATTACAACGAATCAGAGCGCACGCGGCATCGACGCCCAACGTCACGTTGTCCAATCACAGAAGAGACTGGATGCAAAATAGGCGGGACTAGAGTTAAATTAGCCAATGAGGTGGAAATTAATTTTTAAAAAAGGATTGCGTTTTAAAGCGTCATTTGACGTCACGATAATTTTCAACGAGAAGATAGTGAAAGTTTAAGAAAAACTGTTAATACAATACTATCAGTCGATTTATCGGCCTTTTTCCTTCTTCTCGGGATCCTGCTGGACACAAAACAATAAAAACCAAGATATTTATCACTGAAATTAAATTAAATTCAGTTTATTTAAGAGAGAATGAATGAATGAGGGAAGAGGGAGAGGAGAATGAAGTTCAAACCATCTCTTCCATCAGACATGATGGGCAATGTGAGATTGATGGGAAACAAGTTGGATGAACTTCAAGACCTAACAAGCACTCATCCAGAGTATCGGGAATGCAGTATTATGTGTTTCATGGAGATATGGCTGCAGGATCTTATCCCTGACTCCAGCATTTCTCTGCCAGGCTTTCTGACCATACGAGCAGATAGAGATTTAAAGAGGAGTGGCAAAAGAAAAGGAGGTGGGCTGGCAATGCTTGTGAACAACAGATGGTGTAATCCTGGACATGTTACTGTGAAGTGTCGTCTCTGCAGTCTAGATATTGAACTGTTAGCAATAAGCTGTTGTCCATATTTATGTCCCAGCACAGAAGATCAACATCATCAGGCCAGGACTCTGAGGTCTACACTCATCTCCAGGTCAGAGGTCACTCTTTCAGGGATGAAGATGTTCACATCCTGGACAGAGAGGAACGATGGTTTGAGAGAAGAGTAAAGGAGGCCATCTTTGTGAAAAGAAATCGTCCATCATTAAACAGGGGTGGAGCCTCCAGGTTCAACTGTCCCCCTCTTACAATGCTGTGATTGCTAGTATCACTCAGCCCTCTGTGAGTAGTAAACAGCCATCAGTGTGCTAATGATCCATTGTTAGGCTGATGGTCCTTCTTGAGCATGTGAGCAGCTGGTTTTGGTTGTCAGCAGCAAACTGGTTGATCCACTCTGAGAAGGTGCTATTTAAGAGACTGAGCTGAATACAGCACCTCAGACTGAGAAAGTCTTCTGGATGAGAGACAAAACGTTTCCACATTTTTTTGCTTTTTTTTTTGAATGTCCAGAGGACCAGATTGAACTTTTTTTGTTGTTGTCCATATTATTTGCCAAGAGAGTTCACCAGTGTTATTTTGGCAACTGTTTACATTCCACCCAACGCTGTTGCCGAGACTGCGTGTGATGTCATCAGCTCCGAGGTTGCTAAGCTACAGACAAAACACAGTGCGTTTGTTGCAATATCTGGGGATTTTAATCATGATGTCTTACTCTCTGCTACACTTCCAACATACCAACAGTTTGTCAGCTGCTCTACCAGAGAAAACAAAATGCTGGACTTGTTTTATGCAAATGTCAAGGATTCATACATCACTAAAGCAAGACCCCCTCTTGGCAAATGAGAACACAGTCTTGTGTTTCTCTGCTCAAAATATAAACCCCTTGTTCAGAGACAACCTATAATAAAGAGAACAGTGACAAAATGGTCAACGGAAGCTGAAGAACCCCTGCAGGGTTGTTTTGAGGCTACAGCCTGGGATGCACTGTACCAGCCACATGGAGAGGACATCAATGCCATGACTGAGTGTGTGACCGACTATATAAACTTCTGTGTAAACAGCACCATCCCCACCAGAACAGTGAGATGCTTCCCCAATAACAAACCCTGGATCACCAATGACCTGAAGGAACTGCTAAACCAGAAAAAAAGAGCCTTCAGGAAGGGAGAAAACCCACACATGCACAGACAGAACATGCAAACTCCACCCAGAAGGGCCCCCGAGCTGGGATTTGAACCGGGGGCCTGCTCGCTGAGAGGCAGCCGTTCTACCAGTTGCGCCACTGTGCTGCCCTGTATAGCAAGCATATAAGATGAAAAATAGATGAAATTACAGTATATAAAAATGAATGAAAACCAGCTACATTCAAGTAATGTAAAATTCTAAAAACAGGACTCTGCGTTGGTTTTAGCCATGAACTTAGCAGTTGTTTAAGATCTTTTATAGAGATCAAAATCAACAATATATCTTTAAGGTCCAACAATTTTCAGAAAAGTCACCTGGACATTTTTTTTTACGCTGAAACGTTTCACCATCCTAAGATGCACCAGCATAACTGGTTTGTTCCACTTTGGAGTAAGCTGTTCAGGGAAGAATAAGTTTTGTGTTGTGTTTCCTTGACTGATGAAGCCTTCTGGATGGAAGGTGAAACGTTTCAGCACACACACACACAAAAAAAAACTGTCCAGATGACCTGACTGAAAATTGTTGGATTGTATACCTGGATTATTGAGCATGGACTTTGTTATATCTATAAGGTGTTCCAGGAAACATGAGTGGAGTAAGAGAAGGCAAGTTCGGTCCGGACTGAGGGGACACTAAAGATATCTTGAGAGCGCACGCTGTACCTGCACTGACAAAACGACATGTAGATGTATGAAGGCTACAGAACAAGAAGTGATTTAAAGATGAAAATGTGCCAGTCTACGTGAAGTTGGTGTCCAGTTAACCAGTGAATACTGGGTGCAGTGGTGGGTACGGTAGTTACAGCTAGTTATGAATCTGATCTGATGCTGCTCAATAATCCAGGTAGATAAAACTAACAAGGTTGAGTCAGGTCCTCTGAATCCATCCAGAGGACCTGACTCAACCTTGGTAGATTATTCTATTTTTGTCTGAAAACAAAAAATTATGATCTAAAACGATTACGGACTGTTAAAAGGGTGAACGTTTAGCCGAATGACTGCTGAACTTTTGAAGAAGCTAAAACTGAGTTGTTAAAGCTGAAAGCAGAAAACTTGCTAAAAATCAGCAAAATGGCAGCTAAAATTTAAAGTAACAAAAGATTAACAAAGTGGCAAAAACAGCAACTAAAAGCTAGAAATGTATTTCTGTGGGGAAATGTTTGTAAAATAAAGAATGAAGTGACAAAACTAAAGTCACAGTAGCCATCTCCTCCTCGGTGAGCCAAATGTTTTGATGGCGCCAAAAATGTATGAAAATATTTAAAAGCAGGGAAATGGTGTAAATGATGACTCAACACAATAAATAAACACATATATTGAAGTTACAGTAATAACATTTAGTCATAAGAAGAACAGTTTTGACGTTACATCAATTACAGAGCTTATCGGTGATGTTTTGATAGAAAACTTCTCCGTTAGAATAATAACCATCAAAATGCCCAATGATCAAATTTTAGAAAATGACAGTCAATAAATCAGAGCAGAACTCCATGGTCATGATTTACTGCAACACATAAAATATGTTTTCAAGGCTTTTAAACTTGAAACAAATCTGCACAAAGCAAAGCTTTTATTGTAAATCGCTGTCATTTGAAATCAAAACAAACTCTTGGTCCAAAGGTTTTAAGATGGGAGACAAGCAGTTCATAAACAAATGACAGAACAGAAAACAGAATGCGTTAAAAAAAGAACTAAAAGATCTTTTTGTTTCAGCCCGTTTGTCAAACGTGATCAATTTAGAATAGTGAAGTCGTCTCCAGAGCTTTCAGTCTTGCAGCAAAGACCAGAACATTCTTCTCCACCTCGGCGTTGATTTGGGCCTGCGAGGCTCTGGGGTTCTGCTTGATGAACTCTGCGATGCTCAGGATACAAGCTCTCTGAGAGGAAACACAGAAACAGGAATTCAACCCAAAACGAGGCTCAAGGCTCTGAATTCATCATTTACTGCTCTGAGGGGTGAAGGGTTTCTTCAAAACTTTTACTCTTTTCATTCATTAATCAAACAGTGGTGATTGAAAGTTTGTGAACCATTTATAATTTCTATATTTCTGCATCAATCTGATCCAAAACATCTTCAGATTTTCACACAAGTCCTAAAAATAGATACAGAGAACCCAGTTTCACAAATGAGACAAACATGCTTGGTCATTCTCATCAGAACCAAAACCAGAACCATACAAACATCAAGTGTACCTTCTGGTGTGTGAGAATAATTTGCAGCTCAAGGTGGTTGATGATCCATCTTTTAACCTTCAGTGGTCTACACTCACCTTGTAAGCGTCCACTTTGTCCTGGCCGGTGATCCGGTTCAGCAGCTCTCTGCCAACCTGAACGCCCGTCACCGCTGCCAAGATCTTCCTGTCTGCTTCCGACTGAGAGGACAGCCAGCGCAGCAACGCCATCTAAAGCAAAGGGAAGAACGAATAATCAGAATAATAACTAAAATTAAAATAAAGACACTGGGTGCATTATGAAGGTGCTTCGATTCTTCAGATTATTCAAACTGACATATGCTTAAAACATCCGAACCTGAGCTGTTACGTGTGATGGGTCTTTGTGGATTTTTATCTTTGTTTTTTTAATTCAATTCAACCTTTATTTCTACAAGTCTGTCTCATTGAGCCTCGAGGGCTCATTTACAAGAGAGACCTGATTTAATCAAAGAATGATAAGAACAGTAGACGATCATATAAAAGCATATACAATGAAAAGTAAATTGAAGAAATTAACACGAAACAAAAGTAAAGCGATTTAATAAAATACTAAAAATGGGAACATGATGGTTTTCTACGTTGTTTTTTTTATTTTAAAGCTCCTCTGCTGTAGTTTATATTTCCAACACTGTTTTGAATTCACACTTAGTTCACTTTAAATTATACTCGTTTTATAACTTTAACACTAAATATCCATGTTTTTATTTTACCTGCTGAAACAGCTGCGCGTTGCTCATCTGGCCTCCCGAACCGGACATGACCGAACCGGACCGATAAATACAAAAATAACTACAAACAGTTTAAATTAATAATATGTAGAATAAAACTAAACCAGTTCAGGCACAGCTGAGAATCACCGTTTACCAGAAAAATGCCAAAAACAACTTCTTCAATCCCGAAACTTCACTTCCTGTTTATTTTCTTCTTCTTCGTTGGATTATTGAGCATGCATCGGGATATTCTTCTTCGTTGTTTTTAATGCTGAAAAAAGATCGCATGCGCCCCCATTTGGACTAGAGCAGAACTGACGAGTTAAACATGATTTTTCCTTGTAAAATAACAAATAAATGGTTGTACAATAACTAGTAATATTTATTGCACTTACAATAAAATAAGTGTTTTCACTTTCTTGTGTATCCAATATTTTTTATGAATGTGCTATGTATTTATGAATATGCATTATTTTAACTAAACCCAGCTCAACCATTTACATTTTAAAGCTGCTCTTTGCACTTTAACAAAATCCCTAAAATGTGTTACTCTTTCACATAACAACTCTCATATTTATCTTTAAATATGCAGAACATGTTCTACTACACTGATGAGCAGACTGAGACGAGTCCTACCCACCAAAAATCAAGTTCAAGTCAATTTTATTGTCATTTCCATCACATGTGGTACATGAGGTGGAACAAAATTATTTACACAGGGTCCCAATTACACAAAAAATTGCAAAATACAAAGCACAAAAAGAAACAGTAAACAAGGATCTAAGATCTACAGCAAGACACACGCCAAACGGTACACTAAAAGATAAGATATACGCTAAACACTAACAATGTAAAACAACACGGCGTAACAACAGCAGCCTGGACATGAGTCTGCGGCAAGCAGACGGGCATGAGTGAACATAGCAGCACAAGATAATCAGCAGCACAAGATCAGCAGCACAGACAAGTCATATTTCACCAATCAAAGTGGTGCCACAGTGACTATCCTGTCCAGGGATCCACGAGTCCAGCAGCTTCAGGGCAGAAGCTGCTCCCCAGCCCAGCGGCTCCACACCCAACGCTCCGCAACCCTCTGCCCAAGGGGAGCGGGGCAAAACGTGCGTGTGCTGGGCGAGTGGCCCCCTGAACGATGCATGCGGCCCTCTGCAAAAAGGTGAAGTCCATGAAGGCTTTTAAATTATCTCCATATATCAACTTGCATTTAAAATGTGTCATTTTAGGCATTTTTACCATTATTAATACAAATAGAAAAAACTGAGATGACTTCTGTAGTGACTTGGCACTTTATAAATAAACTGAACTGAAAAAGGTATTAAGTAAAAATTTAAAAAGTATTATTAAGACTTTTGTTATTAAGATTATTGTTCTTATTAAGACTGTTTAGTTGTCATTTTTCCTTTGATTGCATTTAATCCCAGTATTTTTGAACTGGCATCACATCAAGTCGTCTAAGGGACTTCAAACATCTGCCAAGTTCATGGCAAAAACCAACGCAGACAAGTTCCTGTTTTTAGTTTTTTACATCGCTTTACAATGTAGCTGTATTTGTTTCTATTTTTTATATAATTTCTTCTATTTATTTTCATTTTATGTGTTTTTACGATTGTCTACTGTCGTCTGTACCTCATCTGTGTTCTGTTCAAACAGGTCTCTCTTTAAATGAGGCTCAATGAGACGAACCTGTAGAAATAAAGGTTGAACTGAAAACAAAACCAGGGTAAGAAGTCATTGCCACCAACATGCTGTCCGACCCTAAGGTGTCCTAATACTTGAAAAGTACAGAGCTGAGAGAACTCGTTCTAATTGTCATGGACGGAAGGTTATATGTTTTTATTTGTTTTGCATGTAAGACAGACTTTTCTAGTTATTGTTTTTGAGAGTTTTAATGTTTATTACAATTTATTATCATTGTGATAACGTTCACAACAGCATGTTTCCTTCACACCAGTTTCACCATGAGCAGCAGCAGACTGGTGACATGTTGGGTCTGTGAGGTATCTGTGGGGTCTAGTGGTCTCAGCTGGGGTCTTTAGTTTTAGAGAAGGAGCCCAGCTGTTTGGTGTTGACGTCCTTCAGCTGCTCCAGCTGCCTCTGGCCTCGCCTGTAAAGATACTCGATGTGCATCACGTCCGTCTTCTTGATGCGAGAGTTCCCCCTGAACTCGTCACGGATTCGGGGGATAAAGCCCGGTTTGTCCTTACCAGCTCGCAGGAACTGCCGGTACAGAGCCAGGACCTGTTTCTGCAGCTTGCTGTGCCGCGACATGACCGGCAGCCGACCTCAGCACCCTGAACGGAGAAGAATCGGATCAGAGATCAGCTCTTCGTGGAGACGTAACATCAGATTCCAGCTGCAGCTACAAGCTCCCATCCACCCCCAGATCTTCTTTATCCACCACCGGTCTGTTGCTGCTGTGGCTGCAGACTGACTCTGAATGCAACACTGAAGAACAGAGGAACCTGAACACACCACTTTATTTTCTGCAGCAGTTGTTTCTGAACTTTCAGGATGCACCGTTGACCTGCAAGTAAAAAAACAAAGAGTTCAAATGACAAAACGTAGAAGATTTAAAGACATGACGAGGGAGGCCTGACTGACCTCGACCTCTCTAAGTGGCTTCAAACATCTGCTCATGGCAAAAACCAACAGAGTTCCTGTTTTTAGATTTTTACTTTGCGTTAAATTGTAGCTGTTGTTGTTTTTTATCTTTTATTCTATTTACTTTTCTTTTTTTTTTATATGATTGTCTACTGTTGTCTGTTCCTCATCTGTGTTCTTTGTTAAAATCACGTCTCTCGTTAACTGAGTCCTCGAGGCTCATTGAGACTCACCTGTAGAAATAAAGCTCGACTTATTGAAACTCGGTCCTCATTTCTTTAGATTTCTTTAGATTTTACTCTCAAGCAGCAAAACTTTATTGTAATTCTTTAAAGTGTTTCCTTCTGAAGATCTTTAAAATAACTTCTTCAGACTTTGGCTGCACTTTCATTCACATCGTTTGTTTTGGCTCTCAAAGAGAGAATTAGTTAAAAAATCTTTACTTAATCTGTGAAAGGTCACAAAGATCATTCAGTTTGAGCCACTGAGCAAGGAGACGTTTAAATGACGTCTAATTTGGGTCCCTCCCAGGTGCAGACTGTTACGAGACGACGCCTTTTTCCGACGTCCACTGGACGGTCAATATAGACGTATCAAAATTCAACTTATTTTATTCACTTGAGATAATAAAATAATTAGGAAGTGCTTCGTGTTGTCTTCATTGTATTTTCCCAAGCAGTGTTTAACACATTCACCTCAGATGGATGTTGGAACGACTGGGGTTCGATCCCAGGACCTTCGGGTTTTTCTGAGCAACAAACAAAGTTAAAGAAACAATATATTTGACGATCTACTGTGCAACAGGAGAACACGCTACAGATACCAGGTTTACAATTAAATCATCACTCCTTAAATGTCTCTAGAAACAGATGGACTAAGTTAAAATAAATCACTCCTTAACTTTTTTCCTTTATCCTCTTTACTGCATTAACAGAAAGAGCTTCGAGAGAAAATAGCAACAGTTGGTTTATGAATGAAGCCGTGCACATTTATAATCATAAAGAGTAACTGTGCACGGTTACTCTTTATGATTATAAATTATGATTGTAAATTTTATGGTTATAAAAATTATGGTTCACTAAGGCACCCCTGCACCTGTCTTGGATATCTAAACGAAACATTCGACTTTATATCGACGTACAGGTGAGGTCATGGTTGGACGTCCAGGGTGGACCTTGTGTGCAGGTCCTGGACACGTCCAGAACTGGTCCAGAACTGGTCCAGACTCAATACAAACGTGATCTGCACATCCAGTCGACGTCTAAAGTTTAGTGGAGGTCTGCGTAGGAGCGTCACTCAAGATAAGATTGCATTAATATTACAAGATAATCTGACAAACAGAGATTAAAGAAATGATTGACAGTCCTGGAACGTTGCAACATTAATCTCTGAATTACTGTAAAACTAAATAACGAAAACAAAACAACCTCAGAAACTCACCTCACTTAAAACAACGAGTCCTGGTTCAAAACGGCTACATCCAGTTAAATCTTTCATTTGTGTCACTTTAACAACAACAACAACACGACTCTTAAACAACAAAGATAAATGTTAAACGAGCTCTTCACGCTGCACCATGACCTTAACAGCGACGGCGCGGACATTAAAAACTACAAAACACGTGACTTCCGGTGAAACGTAACATGATAAATTTATAATTTAGAGTTTTAATTCCACAGTGTATAAAAATGAACAAATAATTTGACTTATTTATAAATATTATTGACATAATAATAGATTTTCAAACGAATAATGATAATAATTAAAAAAAAAAACATCGGATACGGATATCCGTTCACTTCCGGTTTGGGTTTTCCGGTGTCAAATATCAAAACAGAAAACGGACTGAACAAGCCCCGGCGTTAAACACCAACAGGTTTGTAGTTTACGTTGAGTGAACTTTTCTAGATAAAGATAAATGGTTTAGGTCAAAATCTTTTTAAGAACTGGAAACATTTTCGGATTTTATTTGGCTAATGTTAGCTTCATGTTAGCTTCATGTTAGCTAGCTGAGAAGTAACGGAGGATGTTTTTAATAAAAACTGACAAATAAACTTTTGTTTCATTCCTACAACAACCAGCGAATTGCACCAACACATTAATGATGATTTACATTTAGTTATGACATGATTCAGAGTTAACTAAATAAGTTATTGAATAAACGCTTTCTATTTAAAGTTATTGTTTAAAACTAATATTTTCTTTAAGGCAGATTAAGCTGGACAGGATGCAGAACAAGGCCCTCGACATGTAGAAGTTGAAAGAGGAGTTTCAGGTTTCATCAGACTTGTTTAAAACACTTTTAACAAACTCAACTCTGCTTGAATTGTTATCAGAAAATGAACCATTGGTAAATCCCAACATTTATCATGTTTATAATTACGTAATTTAAAGTTAGATTATTAAAACACTAGTTTTGACAGTTTCTGACCACCTGAACAAATGTTCACTAAGGTGAGTTTGTTCTCCTGTAGGTATGAAGGTGACGGCAGAGGAGCAGCGGCAGGTGGAGGAGCAGGTGGAGAGGCTGCTGAGTGGCCAGGGGTCAGAGGTCGGCGTCTGTGATGTTGGCCTGGAGCTGAGCAAGCCGGCGACTCTGAGGAAGAACGTCACCTACATCGTCTGCGGCGTCATCTTTAACGACAAGGTGAGCTGACACCAAGCAGCTCGGATCGTCTGGTTGAGGCGTTTGTTGCTGAATGTTGGTTTAAATGGTTCTTTATCAAAAATTGTTTTCTGTGTCCATTTGTCACTTTCAGTTTTTTCTGTTTGTGATTTATTTATTTTTGTCTGTTATTTGTCTTTTTTTTTAAAAGTGCTAAATTCAGAAAATCTCTGTTTGTGCAAGTTCCTGTTTTAAACTACACAGCTGTGGAAAGCCTGTTACACATCTGTTTGCTTCAGGAGGAGGTGCTGATGGTGCAGGAGGCGAAGCAGGACTGTTATAAGCAGTGGTACCTCCCTGCAGGGAGGGTGGAGGTGGGGGAGAGTCTGGAGGAGGCGCTGAGGAGGGAGGTGAGACACAAACACACCTCCACTGTTCTTTTCAGACACTTCATCTTTCTGAGTGTGAAGAGGATGCACTTGTGAGAAAACGGACTTTAACTCTTTTGTGCGTTTTAATAATCGTGTGTCGTTTTTTACCAGTTTGTCTTTCAGTAACGTTGTTGTAGCGTTGTTTTAACGTTGTTGTAGCGTTGTTGTAGCGTTGTTGTAACGTTGTTGTAGCGTTGTTGTAATGTTGTTGTAGCGTTGTTGTAGCGTTGTTGTAGCGTTGTTGTAGCGTTGTTGTAACGTTGTTGTAACGTTGTTGTAACGTTGTTGTAACGTTGTTGTAACGTTGTTGTAACGTTGTTGTAGTGTTGTTGTAATGTTGTTGTAACGTTGTTGTAACATTGTTCTAACGTTGTTGTAATGTTGTTGTAACGTTGTTGTAGCAGCGTTGTTGTAACGTTGTTGTAGCATTGTTGTAATGTTGTTCTAACGTTGTTGTAATGTTGTTGTAACGTTGTTGTAGCGTTGTTGTAGCGTTGTTGTAACGTTGTTGTAGCGTTGTTGTAGCCTTGTTGTAGCGTTGTTGTAGCGTTGTGGTAACATTGTGGCAACGTTGTAATGTTGTGGTAACGTTGTGGCAACGTTGTGGTAACGTTGTTGCAACGTTGTGGTAACGTTGTTGCAACGTTGTGGTAACGTTGTTGCAATGTTGTTGCAACGTTGTTGCAACGTTGTTGTAGCGTTGTTGCAACGTTGTTGTAGCGTTGTTGTTACGTTGTTGTAACGTTGTTGTAACGTTGTGGTAACATTGCTGTAACGTTGTTGTAGCGTTGTTGTAACGTTGTTGTAACGTTGTTGTAACGTTGTTGTTACGTTGTTGTAGCGTTGTTGTAACATTGTTGTAACGTTGTTGTAGCGTTGTTGTGTAACGTTGTTGTAACATTGTAACGTTGTTGTAGCATTGTTGTAGCGTTGTTGTAGCATTGTGGTAACGTTGTTGTAATGTTGTGGTAACGTTGTTGTAACGTTGTTGTAGCATTGTGGTAACGTTGTGGCAATGTTGTTGTAACGTTGTGGCAGCATTGTTGTAACGTTGTTGTAACGTTGTTGTAGCGTTGTCGTAGCGTTGTCGTAACGTTGTCGTAACGTTGTCGTGGCGTTGTTGCAACGTTGTGGTAATGTTGTTGTAACGTTGTTGTAACGTCGTTGTGGCGTTGTTGTAATGTTGTTGTAACGTTGTTGTAGCGTTGTTGTAGCGTTTTTGTAGCATTGTTGTAACGTTGTTGTAACGTTGTGGTAACGTTGTTGTAACGTTGTTGTAGCGTTGTTGTAGCATTGTGGTAACGTTGTGGCAACGTTGTTGTAATGTTGTGGTAACGTTGTTGTAACGTTGTTGTAGCGTTGTTGTAGCATTGTGGTAACGTTGTGGCAACGTTGTTGTAACGTTGTGGCAGCATTGTTGTAACGTTGTTGTAGCGTTGTCGTAGCGTTGTCGTAACGTTGTCGTAACGTTGTCGTAACGTTGTCGTGGCGTTGTTGTGGCGTTGTTGCAACGTTGTGGTAACGTTGTTGTAACGTTGTTGTAACGTCGTTGTGTCGTTGTGGCGTTGTGGTAATGTTGTTGTAACGTTGTTGTAGTGTTGTTGTTCTGTGAGGGGGTTGTGTTGGAACACAACAAATGGCTGCAGACGTTCACGTTAATGTGAACAAATAATCCATCCTTACTGAAACACAAGAACCGCCGTTCTCCAGAGCGTGTCCAGAACATTTGCAGCATCTTTACAAAATAAGTCCAGAACATTTTCAGGCTTTGTCCATAAAGTTCTTGTGTTTGGTGCCTCATCATTTGGGTCGGTGTTTGTCACATTCTCAGGACTTGTGAGCAAAATTTAAATCTTCAGTCACACCTGCAGATTGTTGAACCTGGCTTCAGTTCTCAGTGTTTCTTTCTGCTCAGGTGAAGCTTTTGATCTGCAGCAGGTTTTGTTTCCACGTTGTCATGGCGATACTCTCCTCAGACGTGAACGTTCTGCATGAGTCAGAGCCGATGTTACGGGTCAGAAACTGATTCTGCTCCATGATGCAAACCTGGTAGCCTGAGGTGAAGTGCTGTTGGTCCACAGGTGAAGGAGGAGGCGGGGTTTGACTGTGAGCCAATCACATTGCTGCTGATCCAGGAGCAGGGACCACAGTGGATCCGCTTCATCTTCCTAGCCAGGGTCTCAGGTCAGAGGTCACAGAGATGTTTTGTTGGGGTGAAGATGTGTTTCAGGCGATGGGCTTCAGTGGTTTCCTGTCTTTCAGGAGGAAGTTTAAAGACTCTATCAGCAGCAGATCAGGAGTCTCTTCAGGCCTCCTGGTGGGACAGAGAGTCCTCCCTCCTCCTCAGAGGACGGGACATCCTTCGTCTCATCGAATGCGGACTCAAGTAGGACGATGAACTTGTGTATGCGAAGCTGTAAATGTCTGGATGTGTGTGTGGGTGTACAACCTTAGAGCTGCTGAAAGTCAGATCAATCAAATAGAAGCTGTTTGACTTTTTAAACACAACGATGGAAACGACATCAATCCTGCTCAACATTTTTAATTTGATAATACAGTAGTCCCTCGTTTATCACGGGGGAAACGTACCCTGAAGACCCGCGATAAGTGAAAAACTGCAATGCAGGAATACCAGTACAATTTGTCAGTAGTAGTTTATTTTAGTATTTTTATATATAAATAAAGGTGTTTTAAACCCTTCCCACACTCATGCAATATTCTAAACAATGTTTCTAAACTCTAAACGCTCTAAAAGAGACAGAATATCATGATTTCAGCTCCTGCCTCCTCTGCTCTTTGCCACCTGCAAGCACTTTTGGTCACGCCCACTTCTCTGCTCCGCACAAGAACAGCTGATCAATTCAATTCAAAAATACTTTAATAAATGTTGATGTAACTCATCATCCTGGTTTCATTAAAGAGTTGTTCAAGATGCTGATGCAGGAAGGATCTCTTGTAGCGTCTGTCCTACAGCAGATCTGAAGTCGTCCGTGTGTTTTCATTCAGGAGTAGTCCGTGTGTTTTCATCCAGGGGTCGTCCGTGTGTTTTCATCCAGGA